AAGATTGGATTAGTTCACAGGCCACCAAAGTGTAACCTCTGCACTATTCTGATGGTTAGATAAAAGAGATTGAATGGCCGTATGGCATAAATATATAACATGTCTCTCCATTTTGTTTTTAAGGAAAATGTCTGTGCTGATGCTGAGCTACACCATGTAGTCTGCTCATTGACATGCTCTCTAGGTAGAACACTGAGTGTCGGGTAAAGGAAATATCTCATTGGATTTGATAATTTACTGATATTCATTAGGTAGACTGACAAATGAACTAGATAATGAAATCCTTAAGAATAATTTTCTTATTGGTTTGCTGAGTCAACAAAGTGGATGGAAACTACACAAATAGAAAAGCTTGACCCCATATTTGCTAAATGTTTAATTTATTTGCTTCATGACTCATCTTTGACACGAAATAGAACTATTAAAATTCTAAAAAACTTGCATATTTAAGTCACTATTATTTTTTTTAATTTTGTTATCATTAATCTACAATTACATGAAGAACATTATGTTTACTAGGCTCTCCCCTACCCCAAATCCCCCCCACACCCCATTAGTCACTGTCCATCAGCATAGTAAGATGTTGTAGAATCACTGCTTAGTCACTGTTATTTTTATTAGAATATGTGCTGCTACTTCTGATCACTTTTTCTGTATCCAGATGGGATTAAGAGTTATTTACCCAATAATTCAACAAATATTTACTGAGCACCCATATGTGCAGGCACTGTACTGCATACCTGAATATCATGTCAAATATGGTACTTTGTTTATTCTAGTGAGGAAAAGATGAAAAAACAAGCATGTAAGCGATTAAGCAAGATATTTTCAGTCAGCATAAGTGCCATGAAGAAAATAAAACAGACTGAGATGGGGAATGGATGCTGTGGTAACCCTGTGATAGAAGGGATGGTCAGGGTGGGCCTCCTTGAGGAGGTGGCTTTTGAGCTGTTTCCTGAAGGGTGAGAAAGAGCCAGTCAGGCAAAAATGTGAAGGGAGCACATTTTAGGCAGGACTAGTAAGTGCAAAGGTCCTGGGGGCAGTAACAAACTTGGCCAATGGAAGATTCAGAAAGGCTTGCGTGGCTACTGCAAAGTAACAGAGAGAGAAGCACAGATGGTGCAAGAGGGGAAGGTACAAGGTAGCTCCTGTAGGACCTGGCCAGTCTTAGAAAATCATGGCGGGGCTTAGGAGGGGAGGATGGTCTGGTGTGTTTTAAGATCACTCTGTGCACCAAGAAGTATGGAACATTCTCTCTGCAATATCCCAACCCTTTCTAACTGGAATCTAATCCTGAAGAAATAGCAAATCCAAATGGAGGGACATTCTACAAAATAACTGGCCTACATTATACTCTGCAAAGTGTCAAGGTCAGGAAAGGAAAAGGCATCATTCCAGATCAAAAGAAACTAATCAGGTGAGGCACCTACATGTACTGTGCCATCCTGGAGGATCCTGCCTTGGATATAGGACAGTAGCAAGGCAGTAGGCAACTCAGGTCTGTAGATTAGAGGAAAGAACTGTGTGACAAGCCAATTTCCTGATTTGGGTAAATGTGCAGTGGTTATGTAAGAGAATGTCATTGGTTTTAGGAAATACACACTGAAGGTACCCTGTTTCCTACCTACTCTCTTAGACATCTCAAAGGAAAAAAGCCATATATATATATATTTACATGATATTTTTTTAAATCATATATGTATACTGAGAGACAAGGAAAGAATGATAAAGATGAATGATGAACGTTAACATTTGAGGATATCAGAGGTAATGGATACTCAAATTCTTTGTATTATTTTTGCAACTTTTTTTGGTAATTCTGTTATTTGGCTTCAATTTTTTAAACTACAGGTTAAGCATGGGTTTGCAATCCATGCTGAATAGCAGAGACAAGTACCTCTGTCAACTGAAAGCCATAGACAGTTGGAAGAGCTTGGGCAGTTTTACTGGGGAAAGGCATCAGGTATGTCTCCTTGAGTGTATTTTCCCATTGTTGTTCACTGTACTCCTCAAAATGATCTTCAGAAGCCTGGGGTTGGGCCAGCTAACGTATTTAACAAGCACTGCTTACAAGGCGGGGTGCTAGGACAACTAATACTCATGGTTTGACATATTTCTCCTTGACTTTTTCTGGGAAAAAATTTTTTTAATGTCAAAATGAAGGAACACTGGTGTTCTCACCACCCAAAATTATACAGTGATTAATATGTGATCATATATGCTTCCATTACCTTTTTATTTTGTTATCGTTAATGTACAATTACTTGAACATTATGGTTACTAGACTCCCCCCATTACCAAGTCCCCCCCACATCCCCATTACAGTCACTATCTATCAGCATAGTAAGATGCTAGAGTCATTACTTGTCTTCTCTGAATATACTGCTTTTCCCATGTCTCCCCCAACCCCACTACATTATGTGTGCTAATCATAATGCCCCGTTTTCCCCCTTATCCCTCCCTTCCCACCCATCCTCCCCAGTCCCTTTCCCTTTGGTAACTGTTAGTCCATTCTTGGGTTCTGTGATTCTACTGCTGTTTTGTTCCTTCAGTTTTTGCTTTGTTCTTATACTCCACAGATGAGTGAAATCATTTGGTATTTGTCTTTCTCCACCTGGCTTATTTCACTGAGCATAATACCCTCTAGCTCCATCCATGTTGTTGCAAATGGTAGGATTTTTTTTCTTCTTATGGCTGAATAATATTCCACTGTGTACATGTACCACCTCTTCTTTATCCATTCATCAACTGATAGACACTTAGGTTGCTTCCATTTCTCGGCTATTGTACATAGTGCTGCAATGAACATACGGGTGCATATGTCTTTTTCAAACTAGGCTCCTGCATTCTTAGGGTAAATTCCTAGGAGTGGAATTCCCTGGTCAAATGTTACTTCTATTTTGAGATTTTTGAGGAACCTCCATACTGCTTTCCACAATGATTGAACTAGTTTACATTCCCACCAGCAGTGGAGGCTTCCCCTTTCTCCACATCCTTGCCAATATTTGCTGTTGTTTGTCTTTTGGATGTTGGCCATCCTAACTGGTGTGAGGTGATATCTCATTGCGGTTTTAATTTGCATTTCTCTGATTAGTGATGTGGAGCATCTTTTCATGTGCCTGTTGGCCATCTGAATTTCTTTGGAGAACTGTCTGTTCAGCTCCTCTGCCCATTTTTAAATTTTTAATCCATGGCCTTTTTAAAAAAAGAAATAGAACACTGCAGATAAAGTGAAGGACTTCTATGACCCCTCTGCTCCATTGTGTCACACTTTCTGCTCTCTCCAGGCAACAGGGGTCTCAGTCTATATCCTTGCAATTAAAAAAAAATTTCATACATACACCCAAGAATATGGTTTTATGTGTGTAAGAAAATAGTAATTTATCTTCCATTTGCCCCATGGTCCCAAGCACATAAGCCAGAGAGAATTATGCCTGGGCTTGCGCCACCTTATCCCTAGGCTTGCGCCACCTTATCCCTAAACATCCCGACCCTCCCCCAAGGCAACAGGCCAAGCGGATCCACCACAATAAAAGGCACCACGCTGCTGCCCTCTCTCTCTCTCTCTGTCTCTCTCTTTGTCTCTGTCTCTGTCTCCCTGCTCTCTCCCTCCCTCTCTCTCTCTCTCTGCTGCTCTCTCTCTCCCCCCCACACCCTCCTCTGGGGTCAGCCACTCTCTCTTTTAGATAATAAAATCTCTTGCGTGGGCCCGTGTCTCCTGAGTCGTTCTGGGTAAGGAGGGTCGCGGCGAGATGCCCTTTCAATGTGTTTGTAAAAAACTTTCATATAAATTTCCTATATAATCTTATAAAATCATAATCATTGTAGACCATATAAAGCTATTATCACATCTTCCTGGAACTTTTCTCAACATTATCCTTTTGAGACATCGCTGGTGACAGAGGTAACTTCATTCCTTTGAGATGTGGTTCAGTAACACAGATTTGCACATTTCTCTATTGATGGACGTTTACGTAAGTTGTTTTTTGTTATCAGAATGTTTCAGTGCGCATTTGATAATGCCTCCTGAGAGTGTAACTCTGGGGCTTCTCCCTTGAAATGGAAATGGAAGTCTTGACTATGGTCATTTATCTGCCCTTTCAAGTTACACCTGGAGGCTGAGCTCTTGGTGCGACCTGTGGTCCTCTGGGACCCTCTGACTTGCGCTCCTCGCAGGCTGGGTCTCCACGGTTGTGACCACTTGCGTCGGCGGTTGGGGTGGGGGGTTGATCCCGGGAGACTTGCACGTGCGCTGAGCCCTTGGCCGACCTTCCCTGAGGACTCGGCAGTCCCATCGTGCCGGTGGCTGTCTGCTCTGGCTGCGCGTCCCGTATGCCCTTTGGGGAGGGTCCACACTGTGAGCTGACGGGAACCCAGAGGCTGGCACGGAAACCCGGGCCGAATAGAAGTTTCCCCATCCTGCCCGCGGGGCCCGTCCGAAAGCTGCCGACCCCTCAGATGATTTGGGAGAGGCGGCTTTCAGGGCGGGAAAGCCCGTCCTTGCTTCTTTCACCCTCCGAGAGGTTCTGGTTGAGGCCGGGCACCCGGGAGTCGTGGGGGCCCGGGTAAAGACTCGGGGAGACAACGGGAACTCGGGATCGGATCCCGGGGTCGTGAGAGTTGGGGGGGTGGTCACAGGTGGGGTCTGCACACCCAACATGGCGCCTGCCAGCTGACTGTGAGACCCCGGCCAGCAGGAGCCGGAGCTTTGTGTGGGCCGCCCCCGCAGATTTCCCGCCCAAGGGCCCAGCCCACTCCACCCAGTTCCGTTACTGAGGCCACAGCAGAGCGCGCCGCCTCGCCGTGGGCGCATGCGCGCGCTGGAACCCGCCCTTCGGGCGGGCGCACGTGTCTCCGCTGCCGGCGTACGTGCGCGCGCTGGTCCTGCCTCCTGTGCCCGTCGAGCCGCAAACCTATTGCTACGCTCCTAGCGGACGCGTACAGCCTTCGGAGCAACCGGCGTACGTGCGCGTGCGCGCCGGGTCACGTGGGACGGCGCGGTGCCGTTGACCCGCCTTCCCGCGGCTCGCGCCGGCGTCGGCTGCGTCTCCGGGCATTTGAATTGCGCTTCCGCCATCTTTCCAGCCCTCAGACGGGCCTGGAGACGCTTCTGGAAGGTAGTAGCAGATCGGGCCGGCTGGCCGGATTGGGCCGCAGACTGGGGCCGGAGCCTGGGCCTGAGCCGGGTCGGGGCCGGGACAGGGCGCTCGGAGGCTGGGGAGGTGGACGGACTCTTCGCATCCCTGGCTATGGAGGTCGCGGGCTGGCGGGCGGGCCGGCGGCTAGATCCGAGCCGCTGTGGGCCGGGCGGGGACCAGGAACCAGGGACTGGGTTGGTGGCCTGGCTTGGGGCTTGCCCGGGGTCGGGGGCTGTGATGGGGGTCGGGGGACAGGTCGCGGGCAGCGTGACCAGGGCTTTCCGCCGCCCGGGCCTGGCCTCCCTGCGGCCTCCTCCCACCCCCCCCCCGAGCGGCCTCTCGTCGGGCGGGCGGGCGGCGAGCGGGCGTGCAGCCAAGACCGGCTCTGAGCCCCGGGTTGCAGCGCAGCGCGGCCCCGGCTCCCGGTCCCTTCTCGGTCTTTAACCCCCATCGGGTGTGGGCGCGCGCGGGACTCTCGCCTTTGTGGCCCGGCACGTGGGGCGGGTCCGGCCATGTGGCCGCGGCAGCAGGCCTGACCGCCCTGTGCTTTGCAGGAACATCGCGATGGCTGCCCAAGGAGAACCCCAGGTCCAGTTCAAAGTACGTACCCCTCGAGTCGGGAATGCGGGGGCCCGGGTCAGCCGTGTCTCCGCGGCCTGCGGGAACACAGTTTCCGTCGCGGCCACATTAGCGTCCTCGAGCTGCATCGTCACCCGAACCCGGCGCCGGGTAGGGTGTCCGCCTCGCCCTACAGACGAGAAAACGGCACCATTTCGTCCTGCCGGTACCTGCCTTAGGTGGAAAGATAGGGCTGCTTCGGCAGGGCCTTTGTTTTAAGTGTGCTGCGGGACGGTTGAGGTTTTTTGTTTTTTTTTTTTAATTCCAATGAAAGGGGCGTCCGGAAAATCGCGACAGCTATGTGATTCTGGGATCCTAAAATGTTAGGCGTTTGGGATTTAGTTCAAAACTTTCTTTTCCAACAGCTTGTATTGGTTGGTGATGGTGGTACTGGAAAGACTACGTTCGTGAAACGTCATCTGACTGGTGAATTTGAGAAGAAGTATGTAGGTATGTGGGGGAAAATCGTCTGAAAATCTGTGTGAAGTGGTTGAATTCGTTGGCTAATTGGAAATGCTTACGTTTCAGCTACCTTGGGTGTTGAGGTCCATCCCCTTGTGTTCCATACCAACAGAGGACCAATTAAGTTCAATGTGTGGGATACAGCTGGTCAGGAAAAATTTGGAGGACTGAGAGACGGCTATTACATCCAAGGTAGGTATCTTGATTTGTGGCTGGACAGTTTTTAGGGGGTTTGCAGTTAGGTCTCCAAGGTGGTTTAGCCATCATCAGATCTGTTTCAGTAAACTTAATATTTTGTTGGGAATTCTGTAATTTATACTTGCTATCTCAGGGAATTGATCATCTCATGCAAGAAAAGGAAATGTGACATTTATCTTGTGACATTACCTTGCTTGCTGTGTCACGACGGTCATTTGGGGAAAAAACTGGTTTATATTGGGACTCATAATCTAAAAAATTGACAAGCTGTTGTTGCAGCTCAGTATTTGAGAACTTATGTATCTTTTGGTGGTTGTCCAGGATTATTTCTCACTGTCTCCATTCATGAGGCAATGAGCAGTTTGACCAGTTACTGGATCAGAGGAGATGGGTTCTCTTATCTTAAAAATGTTATTTTCCTGCTGACTTCTTTTTAATTGTGCTCTTCTGCAGTCTTTTTTTTTTTTTTTCAAAATGCTTGACAAAATTAAAATTATAAAGTAAATAAATGTTCTTTGTACCAAACAACAAAAAGATGAGTTTTAAAAATACTCATTTTTTTGGAATTTTACTGGCTTTTGCTTTGCTTAAGTATGTGCAAATATGTGAACGCCTCCCCCACCCCATTCCTTTGCTAAAAAACTGAAATTTGTATATAAAATTCAGTACATGTTCTGTGGCTTGTTCTCTTATTTATCATGGTTTTTCTTGCAGGACAGTATATACATATAGCCTTACCAGAGTTTTTAAAAACAGGCATAATTTATCCTGGTATATTTAGCCATTTAAGGACCTTTTAAGAAGTAGGTACTGAAACCTTCAGACTAGAGAAGACAAATTCTCTGAAATGCCAGTTTGTCATTAATCTGCTTTTTCTGGGTTGAGGCAGAATTAGTAAAGCATTATGGGGGAGAGAGTTGATATGGTAAGCTGCTCATATAAAATGGAGTTTTATTTTTTTTTAATTTTTAAAATGGGGTTTTAAACAATACAGTTTATTACAATGACTTAAAGTTTTTGGAACTGGAGGGGAGTCCTTGAACTTGAGTAGAGGGAGCTAGATGACCTTGAATTGGGACTGAGATTAAGTTCTCATCCACACCTCTCACCATTGCTCCTCTCTCCAGGAGATGCCTATGCATGTACTATTTACCATAAATTTTTTTTTCAGCCCAGTGTGCCATTATAATGTTTGATGTAACATCAAGGGTTACTTACAAGAATGTACCTAACTGGCATAGAGATCTGGTACGAGTATGTGAAAACATCCCCATTGTGTTGTGTGGCAACAAAGTGGATATAAAGGACAGGAAAGTTAAGGCAAAATCTATTGTCTTCCACCGAAAGAAGAATCTTCAGGTACGTTAGACATTTGCTGAATTACGACTTTTCAAGTTACAGGTTCATTAAAATGATTTTCTTTTAGCTTGGAATGTCCCTTAGAATAATCATTGTTTGAGAAACAGACTTTTAAAATTAATTTTACTTTTCTTTTAAACAGTACTACGACATTTCTGCTAAAAGTAACTACAACTTTGAAAAGCCCTTCCTCTGGCTTGCTAGAAAACTAATTGGAGACCCTAACTTGGAGTTTGTTGCAATGCCTGCTCTTGCTCCCCCAGAGGTTGTCATGGACCCAGCTTTGGCAGCACAGTATGAGCATGATCTAGAGGTATGATGTTTAAAGTTTAGTTAAGGCTCTTAGGTTTTGGCGTGTTGCATTTCTGACAGCTTTAATGTGGACTGTTGTAACTTCCATCTCTTCCTCTAGGTCGCTCAGACAACTGCTCTCCCTGATGAGGATGATGATCTGTGAGAAGAAAATGAAGCTGGAGCCAGCGTCAGAAGTCTAGTTTTATAGGCAACTGTCCTGTGATGTCAGTGGTGCAGCGTGTTTGCCACTTTATTATATAGCTAAGCAGAACATGTGCTTAATCTTGGGGATGCTGAAGGAGATGGATGGGCTTCGGAGTGAATGTGGCAGTTTAAAAAAATCATTTCTTTGGACCTGCATATTTAGCTGTTTTGGAACGCAGTTGTTTCCTTCCTGAGTTTCAAATATAAGACTGCTACAGTCACATCACAATATTCAGTGGTGAAGTCTTGTTTGTTGCTGTCATTCCCATTCCTTTTCGTTTAGAATGAGAATAAAGTTGTATTTCAAATATCTAAGCCAGCGAACTCATCCCTTGTTTAAAAAGTATTTTCAGACCACTAACGGAGAATTGTGCCATGTTAGTATTTAAATTGCTTTTACTATTACTTAGAAGTCTTATTAGGATAAATAATTCAGTGTTTCTATATTTTATATGTTTGACTCTAGCAAATGGTAAGGCAGGGTCAACAGTATTCTATTTGGTAAGTTGTTAAGAGGTGTGAATGTTGTCGGTACCCCTAAGCTGTATCTATCTACCCTGCCTGCATTTTGACTGCGTAGTGAGACCTAGGGAAGAACTTTATGTGATCTGTCAAAATAAAAGTGGAATGTGTTTTAGGCATCTCAGATATTTTAAGAATTAGTAACTTTTATTTTATGGCACAGGTAACCATGTTCTAACATAGAGCTCTTCCAAGTTGGATGAAATACAAATGAGTGCAGGAACTTGACAGGGGGAATCTGTTTAAAATGAATATAAATTAATGTGTTTATTTGCATCTGTGTTACTGTTAAATGCTTAATGTAAAGTTGATACTTCATGTTTACTCACTGCTTTCTCAATGCTTTAAACATGTCGAAGATGAAGGATTTAAGTTTAACACACCACAGCTTTGATGGTTTTTTTCCCTGAAGGATTTTTGGGGGCAGTGGAAGAACAGACAAAGCCAGAAAGACAACAGGAAGATGGAGCTTAGAAAGGCATCTCAGTAAAGGTGAAGCAGACGGCAAGACATAGTTAAACTGTTTATCTTTGTATGGTTTCCACGTTCAGAGAAGAATTAGCCTGTTTTACCCCACTGACACTACTGTGGCAATTAGAGCTATTCTGCTCATATAAGTACTGCTGTAGTTCACTTTACCAAAGTTCTTCGATGTCCAATTATCCTTAAATGATTACTTTCTACTGGAAAGAGTCACTTTATAAGATATACGGAAAAATGGAATACAAAGGGTAGAATAAATTTCAGTTTAAGATTAAATAAATGTATGAATAGATTAATTTCAGGCTTGAAATGCTCTGTATAGTACATACATGCTATATTCAGGTCAGCCAGATTAGCAGTCTGAAATGTGAAATATTCCCGTTACTGGGATGAAACCTTTTATTCAGGTGATTTAATGACAAGGTATGTGCATTTATAACTATGTTAGACTGGTGAAAGTAACAGTTAAGTTTTGGGAGCTACTTCACCTACCTGTTTAATATGGGATGGGAGAGAATAGTAACTCACTGGAAGAAAAAACGGCTGCAAAATATATGGCTGCTTTTTTGCCTGGGTTTCCTATGTCATCTCTAGCACTTGCTATGGGGAAGCAGTAGTTAGCATTACATGCGGCATGTGTTTCTACCCAAGTTTTAGAAAAGAGGTTTTCCCCTTAAACTTGAGATCTTAGTGTCTTAATGGGGAAGCCTTGAATTGTAAGCCTTATTTTAAGTCATTCAGCTAATGTAAACTAGTAATAGTGTATTACAGCAGATTCTGCAAGAATAAGCATTACTTGGTATATACAGATAAAATATGGAGCATTTGTTTCGTACCTGGATAGTATTTATCCTGTTGGTTGAAATACTTCATAATAAAGGAAAATACAGGGCCCTAGTAGTAGTTGGTAAGGATAGAAATTTTTGAGAAGCATTTTGTGATGTGCTGTGTCAATGTAAAACCCTACAGAATGGGGTTTTACTGCTACTAAAACACCTATGAAAGGGCAGGGAGTTCCAAAAGTTACATTTCCAAAGTAATGATTTCCTGGGTGATGACATGGTACCTGAAGTAACTTGAAAATTTGTTTTTTGTTTGAAAATACTGCCTTATTTTAGAAAATCATGTTGAGCACATGGAATGAAGAGTAAAATGGGTTTGGTAGTTGTATAGGTGGGAAAACATTTTGATACCTTAAGCTGTGTTCAGCCTGCAGGTACCTGTCTGAAAATGAGTCTAACCTTAGTCTCCTGGGCAGGCAGACAGGTGGGCATGGTGCTAACAAGGACAGTAACTTTTCCCATGCCTTTTAACCTCACTTGAAGCTGTATTGGGGAGGAAAGACGGGTGCCTGGCCACTAACCCTTGCTGCTAAGGACCCTATTCAGAAGGCAGATCTGATCAGGTCTTGCTGGTGAGACCGTTGAAGTGTGGCCAAGTCCTTCCAGAAGCAGTGCCATGCTGTGCTCACTGGGCGTCCTCACTGCAGCTCTGCATATTCTCAGAGTGCTTGCCTTCTACTGAAGGAAGTCCTACTTGTTAGGTTCTTTAACTTTGAGGTCTTGTGTTGGTACTGGAGACTGCTGGATTTCCTCATCCCGGTCAGCCATGGGTGCATTTAGGGTTGTCTCCCTTAATAGTCTGATTGCCACAGGGCAGCATCATGTCTTTTTGCTCACTCATGGCCCTAATTCTTAACAAAATTTTATGTGTAACCTTGAGGAGGGAAATAACGGGGGGGTAGGAGAGGGGCAGAGAGTATTTATTACCGTCATAGTCTATTTTGAAGCGGTGTTTCCCTCCTGGAATCTAGTTTGCGCTGTCTTCCCCATTTATTCAGATTGCTTTCTTTAGAGGAGTGTGGAGAGTGGACAGTTAGGACCTTGCTAGGTGTGTCACTGAAGTGAAGTGATGCTGTCAGGAGGTCCTGGGTCTGTGATGCCGTATGGTCAGCCCTGGGAAGTGGCAGCGGGACCTTGGCTTAGATTAGCTTTTCAGCTCCTGCCTTTAAGAAGCAAAATATAAACCATTCTGGTTAAGCTATCATTTCATAACAGTTTGTTCTTAAATCCTGGACTGTGTTCAGGAGTGTTGTGCCCATGAAGCTTTCATCCTGGGAGATGCACGATGACCACAGAAGTGCCAAGATAGAGTTAGCACAGCTATGAAAGCTTGCCAGGAATCAAGTCTGAGGTGCCTGGGAAGGACAGAATTGGAGGAGGAGGAATAAATGCAGGCAGAGACCTTGGGGTGAGAAGGCAGAGGGGTGGGCTGGTGTTGGGGCATGGTGGGGTGCTGCCCGAGGGTCAGAGCAGCATTTTAGAGAATGGGCTGCACAGGTGCTTGGGGACGAGTAACAACCCAGCTTGGTTCCACTGAAGTCCATCCATGCTACAATATTGTGGCAGAGGAAGGGTGACAGCACAGTTATGGCAAGCCCCCCTGTTCACTCAACACATCTTAGCAAAAGCTTGGCTGTGTGGATTTCCACTGAGTGCCAGGCAGCATCTTGCGTTCACCACTTCCCCCCTCATGAGGTGTAATCCACAACTCAAGTGTGTATACTTAGGTGTTCGACATGATGTTTTGATACATGTGAAATGGTAACTGCAGTCAAGCTATTCAACATATCTGTTACATCAGTTATTTTTGTGTAGTAACGTTTTAAGATCTAAGATTTCAAGCACATGACAGTGCTCATAACTATAGACACGCTGAATGTTAGCCTCAGAACTGACTGGTCCTGCATCCCTATAACTGACCAACATCCCCCTCTCCCCATCTCCCAGCCCCTGGCAACCACTCCACTCTCCTATGAGTTCAGCTTTGTCTTTCTGTGTCAGCCTGAGCATAGTGTCCGCAAGGCTCATCAGTAGTGGTGTGACAGGATTTCCTCCTGTTATGAGGCTGAGCACTTGGATAGCTATACTGCATTTTCCTTATCCATTCATCTGTTGATGGACACAGGCTGATTCCACATTTTGGCTGTTGTAAGTTTGTGTCTCAGACAAGGGGATAAAACATTCTGGTGCTTCTCTGCGAAGGGCAGAGACTAAGCTGCATCGCCTCCAAGTTGACATGTACATGGATCTAATGCTTAGTTACAACACTGTTCAGTAGGCGAGAGGTCACACTGGTGGTCCTCTGTCATCACATTTTCCTAGCACTTAGAAGTACCCGTTGTTGATGTGTGTCATGTCCTCCAAATGTTTTCCCAGAGGGCAGGATTGTGCAGTGCAACTTCAGCTTGGAGACATGGGGGCCTCATGAGCTGGGAGTGGTCTGTGGGCCTTCTGCATCCTGGTTTTGACAGTCTAAAAAAACTGACCGGACAACCCAAGACTTTGAGCTTTGGTTACATATCTGATGACACTAAGGAATTTTTCTTCATTGCTTTGGTGAGATAAGTTTTCAGAAGTTTCCTCTTGCAAAGATATGAAAATGTCTGCAATGAAAGGTTACTGATAGGACCCCACGCTTTAGCTGTCACCGAGGGCATCGGCTCCACCATTTCATTCGGGGATTGCAAAATGGTGGCTTCCTAATCCTCTCACTCCTCTGGAATTAGCTGTGAGTCTTTCATGAAGTGTCATCAACCATTTGGGTGCCCTAAAAAAATAGACCATATGGACCAGCCGAATAAGTACCAGATTCCTGTCCTCCGTTTTCTGAGTTGGTTGCCGCCCTAGCAACCTCAAGAAGTGACCGCTGAGATCTTTTTCTTAGTCATAGTATTACATACTCATATTTGGTGTGCTTCAGTATATCTCATTATTTTCCTTTTTGATGGTTGAATTGTGCTCTAAGGAGCACAGACCCTCACGTTAGTTTCCTGTGTCATTTTGATAGGACCCTTTTCTCTTTCAATGTTTTGCTTACAGACCTGACAAAATATCCTAGGGCCATCGCCTGCGTTTCCTACTCCAGACCTTGTGTCAAGAGATCTCCCCAGGAAGACCTAGAGAAATGCTACTGAGGGACCAGAATTTGGGTTGTTGGGGAATGCTGTTGGTTACTACTTGTCATTGCTCCTAGCTTTCAGGTGACAGAGATGGCAAATAAGTATTTTCTGAAGAAAAATCAGCTCGTACTGTGACTCAATTACAACTTAAGAATATGCTGTTTTTACTTTGATTTCATGTTTACATCTTGTTTATGCTGAAATTTTGTTTTTTAAGTTAATATGATTAATTGCTTTATCCTACTACATATCACAGATCTAGAATAGTGATACCAATATTACCACTTAGGACAAGAACACCAAATGCAGTTTATGATTTCAGTATGGCATGTGTTTTGTTTCACACTCAGAGTATGCAGTCAAAATACAAGGCTTTAAAATCATTTGAAATAATTCTCCTTTCTGTAGTTACACCACCAATTTGGTACAGAGTTTGGTTCATTTATTTCAGTCTCTTTAAAGGATCTTTTGGTATCTTAATGTCCTTTTTTTTTAAGGGGGGAAACACAGCTCTAAAGCCAAAACCAGGAAAGGAATTAAATTAGTAAAGATCTTATTTCTGTTGCTTCCCCCTCCTCATAGAAAACTAGTTTATCAGTAATTAGTAGGTAACTAGTTTATTGTTTATCATTCCACTTTCAGAAGATAAAACCGCATCTTTTTATATATTTGAAAATGTAAGCA